AAGGGCCAAGCAAGGACATCAGCTTATTAAGTCCGTCCTGCATGCCCTGGGGCAAAGAGGGAAACTCCTCCATCCTCACAGAGGATCAGTCTAAACGACTCAGGTGTAGATTGACTACAAGGCTACCAAGTGCAGCGGGGCTGCCGTAGCTTTGCGTTTGAGGAAGCGCCTTTAGGTCACCGACCTTCCGTTCTTTACAAGAACTGAGTACTAGTGCAGCGGATCGCAATCTGCTGCCTCTAAAAGTACTTCAAAGCCTTACCAAGGCAAACGAACACTTCAGTCTAAAATCAAAACTGATTTTTTTATATTTCTATTTTATTGTTAAAAGTTTAAATTTACTATATATAAAGTAAAATCTAAATACATCCACTAGCCCCGTCCCGTAATCTTGTTGGGTGTGTGGTCACATTATGCCCATCTCGTGTGACACGCACACACCCCTGTTATTAGGGTTCGTGTAACCCCGTTACACATCTGGTGTGACACCCACCCTTGTTACCAGGATATGGGTAACCCCGTTTAAAGTTTTCTTTAAGCAAAGAGCCACGGCAGCCCCGCTGCAGGGTTCGTACGCTTCAATCTAGCAGCGGAACGAGAGCGTTTACTTCAACCAGTTATCTAGTTAGTTCTGCTCTTCGGGGGTACTATTAGTTCAATTTAGCTTTAACCAGATATGCACGTTTGATATTATTCCATATAATAGTGTCTTAACTGCTTGCAGAGTTGCATCTTCATAATTACCGATACTTTGGTAATTATAATATCCGCAATTTGACTAAAGTGTAATATGATTTTTCGTAATATTGCACAGTATTGTTTCAATTGTACCAAAAGTATAAGGTGTAAGTACACGAGATTATAGTACCTGTGATCCTGATTTGTAACACAACAGATTAATATGAGGTATTTTACTTAGTTTTTTGTGACAGTACATGCAGCACGCTCACCTAAACCCATTATCTATTTTGACAGTTTGAGAAAAAAGCATTTTGCCAATTTTATCAACCATGGTTAAGCGCCGCCATGCCCATGATAGGTCACTGACTCCTTCGCAGTCAATTGCGACAAAATGCCATGGTAGTGTCTTCGCGTCCCCGCTCTTAAATTCAGCATGTTTTCACATCGTACCAAGCCTGCTCGTGATCGTTGTCGCTGTCACTGCCGTTATGCTAGACCTGACCACTAGCACATTCTACGTGCAGTCTTCAAAGCTTCAGATTTTGCTTAAGCGCTCATTCATCGTTTGGATTTGTTTAACTGTTCGGACGCAGCTCACAGATTTTGTAACTCCACCCCAATTAGCGCGTCGACGTCAGTCACTTAAAACAGAGGTAGTTCGCCACACCCGAGCGCTTTTCGCTGTTGTCGCTGCTAATTTGCTGGGGACGACTATTATCCGCCCGGTGTTTGGTGCTGCGCCGCAGTTCGAAGAAACGGTTAAGCTTGTAATCCCCATCTACGTGTTGGTTGTGGCGGTGGTCGATGGTTTTCACGTTCCTTTACCACTGCTGAAGGCGACAGTAGGGCTGAGCGTTAGCTGGTTGAAAGCTGTCACAATACCCAAGTTGATTAGAGAATGGAAAGTACAAACAAGTGGGCATCCACTTGGATTTCTCGCGATTTCTACTGCCAATTTGTACGCCAGTGGTGTCGTGCTGCGGTACTTGACAAACTACAGCCGGTCTAATCACGTGGTTCAGCTGTCCATAGGTACATTTAAATTTATTCTGCAGAGTGCAGTAACGAGCGCAACTGTTGGAATTTTAGCATATCTCGCTAATCATTTCATCACAGATGATCGGCGGATATTGGAAGCTCGATTCCTGTACTTTTGTGTGACGTGGTTTGTACTAGACAAATATTGGAAGAAAGCCCTTGAAGAGCTACTCGTTTACTTCTTTCTATGTTAGCGATCTGGATTTAGAGGGAGAACGATACGGACTCCAAACATCCATCAACTCATAAATCATTGATGTTTCGCCACATTACAGTCCATCATCATTTATGGTTTTGTTGTTGGACAACAACAAAACAATGCAATCACTAGACACTGGTGGTACCTGATCAGCGTAATAATATGCACATCTTTGTTGTAGTCTCCGTGATAACACAAGAGAAATATCGTTATGACGAAATTGACGTCTCCTTGCGCCGTATCTCAGCTATCAAGAAAGCTAAGTGACAAAAGTATGTGGGCGAGGTATAAATGGAAGAATCAGTACGATTTACAGTGATTGTACAAACACTTGAGTGCACTTAAACTTTCCATGACGCATTCACATCAGTGATAAATGATAGTTTACCATGTCATAAATACCCAAATAGATAATTTGACAATTTTGTGAAGAAGCTAAATTCCCACTCTGTGTCTAAATTGCGCTTGTTTGTTTACAAGCGTAATGGGGCTTCGCACACAATATCTGCTGTTGCTCTTCTTCTTTGGTTTAATCGCGAAGGGTTTAATCAAGGTGCGTATCCTGATCGTTTATTTATCGGTACCAAAATGATTAGGTTATGTACTTGCTTCGTCCAACTTAGTCTACTCTCGGATCAAATCTGTCGCTCGCATTACTCGTGTGCGTGGGCATCTACTATTGGCGCATTAAACAGAAGGAGAAATGTGTTTACGACGACATCGCCCGCCAGCAGGCCGAGGCTACCGCTAAGCTGGACGCTTTTCACGGCATTGGCGACGGAAAGGTTACTGAGCTCAGCATGGCAATGCGCAGGACGTCTTTCAAACTCAGCGAGGCCGATACAGGCATCATCACGTACGTGAGAATTGACGAACGAATATCTGCTTACGTTTGAACAGGGTGAGTGATTGCTGACAGCAATTTTTTAGGGATCGCGTCTGCAGGTACTCGAGTAAATTGAGCGGTACTCGGAAAGACCGTCAGAAGTTTTTACGGAAAAATTTGAAAGCAGATACGGTTAAAAATGATCAGTTGAAGAGTTCTATGCAGGTTGGGGCTGTGGAAGCCGAAAAAAAGAGGCTCTTAGTAGAACCAATGCCAGCAGTCGAGATATATGGAGAGAATAAAAGGGAGAAGGCAATAGACTCGATTGTAGAAGAGGCTGTAGACGCTACAATCTAATCGCAAAGTGAAATTTTTGATTACTCATGCTGATTTTACAATCTACTGCTTCGGTAGGGCGAATTGAGTGTGAAAATACAGATACGGCGCAACCAATAATAAGCTGTCCATGCGATCTAGACAGCCGCCATGTCCAGGAAAAAATGATCCCGAGTCTTTGACACCGGCAACACGCTTTATGTATGACTCGACCAAATCTCCCATAATGCACAAGACGCCAAGAACTGTACCCAGCACTAGCTGGTGCATGTAAGGCACTACATCAAGCGGAGGAAGTAATGTGTGTATCATAGGCGACTCCATTAGTAAGCGCGGGAAGGAAAACATTATTAACACCGTAGCCACACTGGAAAGAACGCCTGCCATGGCGCCCACGACGGTTTTGCTTGGGCTTACGGCTGATGCCAGCTTTGCGCGGCCCAAAGTTGACCCAACAAAAAGTGCACCGCTGTCACAGACCCAAGTGCAGCAAAGTGCGAGGAGTTGCAGTCCATGTCCGTACTTGTTTGAGCTACATCTGAGTAAAATAGAATAACTAAAACCGTTTGCAATGTAGAAGAGCGCAAAGATATCGAGCAGCAACTTGATCAAAGCTGTAGCGGCAAAGAAAGATAAAATTAACCACGCGAATCACGGAAGATCGATATTGTTCACTGTACCAGTCCTGTCCGTCTTTACGGAGATGACGATATGAAACGTAAAAACAATTAATGTCGCTCCGAAGCTTACCGCATCTCATGTGGCACCACCAACATTTTTATCATTGTATTCAGTAATCTCATCAAAATAGAAGAAATGTGTCTACCATAAATTTGCTTATCACCTGTCCACGCACCCAGGCAAAGCAACATTCCAGATGCAACCAACAGCACGCAGTGTGTCATTTTTACCTTCGCCTTATTGTATGGTGGCACGATGTGTGGGCAAATGTTGAAGTTAAATTCTACGAGCGAGAGGCAGCACACCGTTGTGATGAGAAGTAGCATACTGGCATCAGTACTGAGCAGCAAAAGTGCCACAGGGACACCCACGAGTCCCGTCAGTATTCGAGGGCCCCAAACGATCGACATAAGTTATTTTTATGAACTGCTACGATTTGTGATGTAAGAAAGTAATAGAAATAGCGATATTTTTCTCTAAACCAGCGTTTAAGTCATAATCACCAAAAAGATCAGTGCCTTTTTCTGCTCCGAATGTGAAAGTAAATTTTGTCCTCAACAATTAATATGCCTGGAGCAAGCAAATATTGTAATAGCGTACTCTATAATGATATTGTTGGACTAAGAGCGAAGCAGAAATGTAATAACTTATAGTAAGATTATGAGGTATAGATGGAAGTCCGTAAAGCAGAGGTCCATGGAACATGTGGGCAGCTGGTCTCGATGCAGCCGAGTTGTCGTGCACCTCGAAGTGGAAGCACTGACTGAAAGAGTCTGCGTCAACAAACGGCACAGATAATCGGTTCGTAGGCATCTCTCGTACCTAGTTAGCTCTTCAACCAGAATATTTAATACTGGAGTATGTTATGGAAAAAATACTTTTTTTCAAATTAAATGGAAAAAAACATATCTAACTGGAAAAAATCTACCTTGAACCACAACTTTTCCACTAATATGACAAAAATCTACCTAATTATGTCCCCAACTCGCTGAAATTTTCTTAAACTACCGATTACTGGTGCATCGACGCTTGATGTGCTCCACTTGACTACAGCTGCCGCATCGAAAAATACTTTTTGGCGCGTCAACTTCTAGTGTGACATGCTGTGATTCGATTCGCTTCTTTTTTGGTCGACCTTTTCTTCCGAACGGATTTGGTGGAAGATTCTCACTCTTTACCAGTCCACTTTTTGTCACAAATGGCTCCACTTCGAGTGCTTCATCGTAAACAAGTCGATACGTTTTGGTTGACCATGCATCCCCAAGATGCAATTCTGCACGTGACAGCTGATTTGAAAACTTGATTGCTGCTATGAGGTGTAGACATGGAGCATTCATTCCTTCACATAACCGCATGTACAGGTACCACTGGTACTGTTTACCTCGACAGCATACTTCATTGGCTTGTTTGTTTCAATTCGAACCGACACAAGAAACGATGTAGTTGAACTGGACATATTTGAATTGTTTCCTCGTACATTTTTGACATTAAAGTGATGCAACTGGTAGCATAGCACGTAACCACACCCCATTGTTTGGTCTGTCCAGCAAATTTGAGCCACTTCGTACCGACAGAGCATTCAATTGCCATCATACAACCCAAGATCGGCATTTCACGGATTGTTCATGATATCGACGTTATTGAAAGTGAGCATTCCATATCGCGAGCATGGACTCTGGACAATGGACCGCTTCTCATAGCCAACGTCAGCCAGCCAATTAACTTCTTTGCAAGTTAGCTTCATCGGGTCTTCTTCTGTGGCTTCGTACGATTGCCTGGTCAGTGCACGTGCTAATCCCCATGCATGTTCCTTCTAGGTCTTGTTTTTAAATTCCAGATTGAAATTCTCCATAAGGTGGCGTAAGCAAAAGAAATATGGTATCTATTTGCCATTTTCTTTCATTACTGGTTCTGTCCCCTTGTCACGATCAGAGATTATGACGGCTGGAAGTACAGATAAATGCTGGAACAGGGACTTGATGAGCCACGCCCAGTTTGTTTCAGTCTCACTGCTGACGAATGCGACTGCAACCACTTGAATCTAATTGTTTCTGTTTTTGAAACACGCCATCAACGCCACACTTCCAACAATATATTTTGAGAAAGTGCCGTCCAGTGCCATGCCGCGTAATACATGTGGAGCAAACGCATGAAGTCCTTTTATATAACCAATTGTTGCCCGCAGGAACAGTTTTTCCTTAAATCCAATAGATACCGCATGCCCGCGTCTCTCAAGTGCTTTGCAGTAACTGGAATTGAATCAAGTCGTCACCATAAAACACTTCAATCAGCCTTTTGCAAGCGTTCACAAAGTTGTCGTACGTCACAATTATCCCAATACTTTTAAATGATCACGAATGATTACTGGTGATAGTTCTCGGCAACGTGTATGCACCAATTTACGCACGACATCACTTTGCACCAGCTGCTTTGCAGTAAGCGCACGTCGAGCATTCCGCGAGTGAAGACCAACCGATGTAACATCACATATGTATGCGACAAATCGTGTCGGAGGTCTAAAGCTCTTCTTATACGCAAATCAAACCATAAATGAACATGATTTACTCGTACAAACAGCTTTGTATCAATGGAAGTCGCTTTGAGTAACCACATATGCACAGCAATCACGGCAATTGTACTCAACAACCGCGCATCTCACGTCTTCTTGACTCTCGTAAGCTTGGTTGAAGACGAATCATCTTCATTTGATGAACTTACGTTGGACTCTTCGCTTGCCACCCGCGTCTCTCCCACCATGTCTTCTTCCGTCGTCGTTTATCGACTGTTGTAGTAATGACAATGCTTGTGACAATCACAAAGTTTTCTATAGTTCGTATTTTTTCTTTCACTCCACAGCCCTGCAGAAAGAATATGCAGATGAAAAAGGAAGAGGCAAAGTAGAAATGTTTTAAGGTCGGGGACCTGGTTTTATTAAATTCTAAGAACCGGCGTTCACATTCAACCTCTGCTATCTCCAGGGCGAAGCTACGTCCACGGTTTATTGGACCGTTTAAGGTTGTGGCCAAGCGGGGCCTAGCGTTTATCCGGCGCTAGTGAAAGCGGAAGCGTTGGCGCCGAAGTCGATCCCACGGGCCCTCGGCCACCCAGAAGTTGAACCAGCAGATGGTTCTGAGCACGGAGTACAACAACCTCCATTTCCAATGGCGCCAAGCGCTCCATTGCCGCATGGAGCGACGCATTCGCCTGCTCCACAGCTAGGAGGCGCTCCGACAGAGCACGGTAGTCCTTAAGGCGAGGCAGCCGACGCACGACGTGCTTCAAATTCTCAAGGGCGTCCGCACAGCGAAATTCTACTTCAGCATGACGCTCAGCGGAGCTCCGATCACGAAGGACCTCGTCCTCAAGGGATCGAAGAGCATCACGAGTCACCGGACGGCGGTCGACGTCACCACCTGCCACCGACTCTTCTCGATGAGAATGGTGACGTCCATTATCACGCGGAACGTCTAGTGAGACGACGTCGTCACCAGGGTCAGACCCAATATCTGGTGAAGTGG